GTAGAGGGCCAACGTAAGAGGTTTCCGTAGGTAGATACATTGAAGGGGCCAGTGCCGTCAATAACAGACGAAGCCCAAGCGAGTGCTGCCCTTGCTAACCGAATCTTCAGCTTTCTTGTAAGCGAAAAAATCTCTGGACTCTTACCTTGGTTATAAAGCATTCTCGGCATCAATATTTTTTGTATGAAAACAGTCAATTTGGTGACAACGTAGGGTTAGGCGACGATGAAAATTAACGCGAAAGACGCTGCTTTTCGAGCCGAAATACAGCGAAATAGCATCAAAGCTTGGCTAACCTTGTTGAGTCCGCTTCTATAGTGATAGAATACTTTTTTTTTGCTATCATTTTTAGAAATACAGGAGCGTCATATAGTGCATATGTAATAGAACAAGTCAAGTCTTTCACCAGCAATCAAGCTTTAGAGCTATACCGCTTTACCATTCTTCTATAGATATTTCCAACCGGCTTCACCTACACAAGAGTCCTTGAGTTCCTGTTTGATGGCGGATAGTGTACCGCTTGGGCTGCGGATGCTCGGAACCAGGATATGTTTACGACACAAAAATTTACAGGGTTTCTTTCTCCTCCTGCTCATCATCCTCGTCATCGTCCTTTCTTTGAAAGTAATAGACTCCAGCAATCCCCAGATCCGCCTCTGCCCCCTACACTTCCCCGTTCCCCGACCCCTCGGATGCGGTACTATCGTGTCGAGATTAGTGGCTTTGGCTTATGAATCTAAAAATAGAAACCGTTACCCCCCGAGTTTATTCGCGAGCACCGTCCTAACGGTTCAGCACCCCTTCCTGTGAGGCCCGTGCATGTCCCCCGGTAAAACACAAAAGCAACAAGCTTCAGCTCGTGTTGTCGTAGTTGCCCAAAGGACATGGCTTTCCCGGATGGTTCAATACTCAACGTAGCTTCCAATCAAGTAGTTTACAGAATGTGGCAAGTAGAACAACACAGAAGAGAAATAAACCAATAACACATCTTCGTACGATTTGCATCAGGGCTGAGACTATGCAAGGTGATACAAAGAAACTTCCAAAACTTAACTTAGATTGTTCAAGTAAACGTGGCCTCGATAGATCAGCCCGCGTAAGAAAAGCTTACGGATATGCGGTTTATTTTGGCCTAACTAAAGCTAGCGTTATATCAATCATAGATATTTTTTTTTATAGCACCTGACTGTGGACAATGATATTTACCAACTATTGCCGAGTCATAAAATAAAGGCGGTGGTAGTCATTTTGCATAATGGATACGTCATGTGAGAATACGATGAGTTTTGTGCATGTCACATTCAAAATTGTCCTTTCGACAGTTGTCGTACATCTGTAGGACGGTAGGAGCTGTAACTACCCGGACTAAGTAGGCACAAAACCTCCACGGACACCAGCAATCTTGTCTAGCGTATTTTTTATTAGAAACCCTAGTTGTACCGTGCGGCAGCAATCTACCTCACATCCTGTATGTTTACGGGCCACAGATCCCTTTATTTCTAAAAAACTACACTCACGGTTTTTATAATTATATTTAATATGGAAATCTCGACATCTACACGCTCGACGTATTAACCGATTAGAACTCTATGAAATCCCAAACTGTAGAGAACGAATGACTGGGTAAACTGTACAACTACGGCAGCAGCGTGCTTTGAGCCTCTTTCTTTGCCGTGTATGGTGGAACAACGATTGTCGGTTGACGGTCACCTAAAGTTGAAAGAGCCACATCAAATATATATATATTCTCGCCCCCTCGAACAGAAGGAGAGCGGAGGACAGAGAGCGTTTGTGTGTGCGTGTGTCAGAATAATCCGAAAAGTGGTCGCCCGTGGTACCCAGCCAAGGCCCATTGCCCAGAGAAATATCCAGAGTAAGCCAGCCAGAGCAACTCTGAGGGTGCTTGTTGTTGCCAGAGAGAAGGTGCGCTATGAGCGGGCGACATAAAAACGAATAGAAGGGAGAGAATAGAAGTGACTCAGAGAAAATGGGGCCCCACTCACGAACCGTCTGGAGCCCCCACCTCGAGGAAAAGAAGGAGGAGGCCAACGCCAAAGCCAGCTACAACGCCAGCCGACAGCGATCCACCGCCAGCAGAAGCAACAGTAACAGTAGCCTTACAGGCAAAAAGACCCTCTGCTATTTGCCTGCGCTAGTCATTCTACTCCGGATATACTCTCACTACGCGGAGCGAGAATAAGTGGGGAGTAGGCGCAGTCAGTGAGTGGCGGGTGAGACTGAGGGAGAGGCAGGCGGGCAGGCGGGCGGTTGGTCGGTCAAGGAATAGCAGTAGCGTTTCCCTCCATCGTTCCGGGGAAGAACCGTTGCCTGGGTGGTGGGCACAGGGGGGAGGTGGCCTTAATGCTTCCCTACCTCAAGACCGGCTGCTCGAAAGACTGGATGAACGAACGCGACCGACGCGTTTCAACAGCGCAGCTGCTGCTGCAAGAGCGACGCGCTGCCGCTCGGAGAAAAAGCAGACATACACTAGAAAGCGGACTATCGACGCTCACTCCGTTAAGGTTTAAATAGTCGTCGACGCTCTCCCCACTACACAGCCGTACATAGACACATGCATATAAAGCATATTGTCGCGCATCTTAATTTACCTATTTGCGCTATTTGTAGGCTTTGTACTCGTTCATGTATGTGCCGCAACAGAGCTTCGATTAGTGAACTGAAGACGGACTTGTTGTCCGAGGGCTTATTGATAGTGGTTAGATTAATGGCGGTTGTATTGTTAACCGGAAGACCTATGTACATTGTCATTACGCCTTCGCATCTTTGTGATGGGTTCTAAACCATGCACAGATGATCGGCCCATGCAGTCGTTTGAAACTGTACAACAGTTAACAATCGATAACGTGGCGCAGCTGGAAAAGTTAAATTTCACTTAGAAACTATTGGTAGCACAACGGGATCATTCCGAAAACATTTCCGATGGCTCGCTATTATGTTCTGACTATCCGCCTATATACCTGTGCTGAGTGTATATTTCAACTTCTGGTTGGAACTTCATCCTAAAACTATCTAGGACAATTGTGCACACGGAATTTGACCTCGTGTCATCCTGTTCTTAAATAAATACAACGACTTTCGTGTAGCTCAAATGTGTCTACCATTATTAATAACTAATATGGATTTATATGTTTGGTATTGGCTCAACCAGACCGATGCGATATACCCAAACGGTGCCTCTCGTCTCAAAATCAATAATACTGCACAAGTGAGCCATTAGACTAAAGCAATCGACGGATCAGCTGGCCCGTCCCGAGGAAGTGATTCGATGTGTTAAGGAGGCCTTTGTTAATACGGGGTATGAGGGACGAGGGGGAGGTAGAGGTCATCAATAGGCGGCTCCATATACTGGAGGTTGGCTGATCGGCCTCAATACAATGTGATGCATGACCACATAACCATCCACTGCCTCCCTTCGTTGTTCTTTACCCTGAGCTATTCAATACTGTGCTACTATTGCCCATACGAAAATATGAGCATGGAGCACACTCGTCGCAAGAACCAATTCATGACCGACTCTGTAGTATGTCGCTGTCATGTAGGAGACGGTGGATTGTCGTTGCGAACGAGATGGGCACAATGGGGTTTACGCGGGGTCCTCTAATCGGAATGACCTCTATGTACTCATTCAAATGCTGTCTAGTTCTTTACTAGAGTATGGAATTCAATGGAGCTGAGGCATGCCGCAGTGTCATTACGCATGCGATTTCACATGCTGTAGCTTAGCGCCAATTACGCTTCGGCACCCAACGACGACTACCGCCTCCCAATACAACAAAGAATCGCGGAGAACGGGAGGGAAAAGCATCTCTTGCCATGTTTCATTTGGAGCCGCCCCGCTCCGCCTGCTTCTTTCTCACACTCGCTCGTCCAGTTGAGTTAAGGGATGGAGGGAGACGACGGCGACGAAGAACGAACGAGGACCAACGATAGACGCTGGGGGACGATCGAGAACGGGAAGCACCGCCAACAGTCGTAGAACTGCGAAAGTATCAGCTAGTAACAGCGGTAGCAGAAGGAGCGTCACCACAGTAAAGCTAACCGTCTTCCAGACAGACACAAACGGGGGCGGCAGGTTAACATGGCCGGCCAACCAACCGGCTGCTCTCTCTCCCGCTCTCTCGGTTCAACAGCCGGAGCCGAGCAACGGCTAAACAGAAACACTATGAGCAGCAGTAGAGCCCCACAGAGAAAGACAGGGAAAGAAGGAGATGTTTTGGCCGAGCGATCGTCGTCTTGTGCTTCGTCTGGGTCGATCTTTCCCCTTGTTGGTGATTATGTGTTGTCTGTCTGGATAGGTCGCCTCCGTGGGGCTCCTCCGCTGCTGCGTTGCTCTCCGACCGGATGTACGGACAGGCACAAAAATAGGCGGCAGCAGGCCGCCTCGGCAAGCAGCAAAGCAGCCAGCCAGCCAGCCAGCCGGCCGCCCGGCCGGCCGGCCGGCGAAATGGGTCGCCAGTTAGCACAGCCGTCACCACAGGGAAGGGGAGACGGGGCCAAGGTTACTCATTTTCTTTTTCTTGTTCCCTTTAGAGGAGAAGAACTATCGTCCCATTTGGAGTTTATGCCAGTTCCGTGCTGGTACAATTCGCGTCAGCATTGATATGAGATAGCTGGATGTCAGAACGCATAGGTAAGGATATATATGAAGCTTCACTAATATGTCCAAAATAAGTAAATCAATGTTAAAGGAGTATCTGAAGTTTCAAATCGTTTCGAAAGGTCTGAGGGCCGACGATTTGTGCACCTTAAAGAGAGATAGGAGTAATAGTAGAACTGGCACGCTGCGTGACTGCTTTTCCTAACTGACAGATCTTTTAGCTTCGCCAGTCCGACCACACTCAAGTGCATCGATTCAATCGGCAACATTATTACGCAGGCTATTATCAACAATGTCATAAGTTTAGCCCAGAAACTTCTAATTCTACAAGGAAGTTCTAATTCTACAATCTCATACAAGCTATTAACATACAAATACGTACTTGGTTCGTCATCGTCAGGGTACGACATCTCCGTAGATAGCATGTCTGCAGGGTAGAACGTTTCACTGAGACTTCGTTCCGAGCTGTTGTTGTTGTTGAGGTTGTTTGACGTGATTGAATTGTTGTTAAACGATCGCATCTTCTCTGTGTTCAGAATAGCTGCCTGTTGAATGAGGCTGGGTCTTGTGTACGGCGACCGGCCAACAATAGCACTAACACGCGCGGTGAATTCGCCTTGCTTGTGCTCCCTAACGTCCCGCTTTAATCGCTTGAGCCGTTCACGAACTTGCATTGGACTACGCTCAAACCCCTGAACTCTTAACAGGTCCGATATGGTTCGGTAAATCGATTGAAATTTTGGCACCATTAGTGAAGCGGAGTTCTTATCAAAATTCGCATCCTCCTTGGCCATTTCCACCTCGTAGACATCGAGAAGTAGTGAGGTCTCTTCTCGAGACCATGAACTTCCCCGACCACCGAACTTCTGAGCATCGCTGACGGCGGCAGAAGCCGCCGCAAGCGCATTCGATGCCGCAGTAGCGGCGTTAGCTGCGGCATTTTTCACAGCGCACACGGACAGGTCGGTGGGTAGGTGGTAGGAGGCAGCAAGTTCCAGTTCCATCTTAGTATCGTTGCCGTTGTAATTATTATTATGATTCGTATTATGTACGCTGCGACAAAGATCGTTCACTGTCCCATCGAGAGAATAATCATCGGTAGCGATCGAAGTCCGGCGATTATCGGCTGTGAGCGCTAAACAGCGATCTCCGCGGCCTTCTCAAACGCCGGAGTTGTTGTTGCTATATTGGAGGATAGCGCTGACAGCAGTACGAGTCACGCTATTCTGTTATTGCAATCGGTTCAATGACCCCAATCGTGCTGCTGCTATTCCAACAGTGGGAACGTCAGCGTCGGGGTGTTTTTTGCAGCGTCTGGCTAGCGCTCAACCGCGGCACAGTGTTGTCCGCTTCTTTACGCTGGGCTGAAGCGATGTTGGCTACCGCGACTGTTATTTCTGCGTCTGCTTACGTATGTCGGCGTGTGTAGCTCTGTGCGGTTATCTGTTGCAGCTAATCGCGCAATGTGGTTGTTCCACTTTTCAAATGGGTAGCGTAGCAGCTCCACTATACGGGCGCCAGCCAGTCAGCTAGATAGCCAGCTAGCCCCTGACGTCGTCGCGGCTGATCCTTAGGGCGAAGCACGCGCTTCGTGCTCGTTCGTTTGCTTGCGGCAACTTCACGGCTAAACTGCTACAACTGGTAGTGTTATAGGGCACAACGCCAACGACTGCCGAACAACCGCAGCGGCGGCGACGGCGGCGCAGCGGCAGCTGCAGACGCCACAAACATCGAGGGGAATACCACCACCAACAGCTTCTACAACAGCAACAACAACAACAACAACAACAACAATTATAACTACAACAACAACGACAACGACAACGACAACAACAACAACAACAACGACGACGGGAAACTTTGCTGTTGACTATCAGGGTCCAGTGACTCTTCCAGCGGCCAGAGCATCTAGGTGCGTGTTATGCTGGTTCCCTGTGTGCATCAATAACAGTAGAAGTAGTAATAGCGACAGCTTCTGGTGGCTTAGTGCCTGCGGGTCGCCGCGTAATAGCTGACGGTCGAAACACTGTTGACTCGCGCTAAACTTCACAAATACGCCACTCACTCGACAGAAGTACGGGTAGAATACGCTCCGGTATCGCTCACGTAAATGAGGGGCGTCTGTTTGTTCTAGCTTCGAGGTGCTCTTGCCGCCTTTGCCACCGGCGTGTGGATGAACGACTTCGCTATACTTGACCTCTTGCCCACGCTACGCGATGTCGTCGGTTCTGTTGGCGCTGTCTTGGCGCTGCAAAAGTCAATGATGAGCTGCAAGAACGCGGTCTAGTACTAGTGCGACAAATACCCGGTGACTAACTCCCTATCGGAACCAGCATAGGAAGAGTACACACGCTGCTAAGGTCGTTCAAAGTCCGATACAGCGCTGATTGCCGCACGAGCTGGATACAGATAGAGGCCGTACGATTAGTGTCGTCGCTGTGATGACCTAGAGATTAGTTGGCACCGTATCTTCCGGGTTAGTCTGAAATTAGATAATACGAAAAAGCCAGCATAAAACGGAAAGTTAATAGAGTCACAAAATTTTAACGATACAACATGGCAGCTCAACGAAAAAGCTACTGCGCCCCAGCTGGCAGATCTCGTACACGTAAGGCTTGAGCCTAGCCCGTATACTTGGCGATAATGGACGCACAAACTAATTATTCAAAATAACTAACTCCTGACGAATCTCAAAACTGCTCTGCTTGCAATAAAGCTAGTGACTCGAGATCGAACATACTTTCTAATAGATAGATTGGCCGAGATTGAGAGGCTAGATAGGCTGGACGACATCACCTCTTCCGCGTTGTTTTACACCGGCCGTCTAGTTTGTCGGCAGTACGCAATGAACCTTCGACCGTGCCCAGAACAGAGCGAAAGCCGGCCAACTGATCGAGCACTGGAAGCACCGCGTGGCACTCCCGCTGCATGGTCTGCAGCGAAGTATCGTAAGATGGAATCCAAATACAGTAACAACAGCAGAAATGGTTGTGGCGCAACGTCATAGACTTCCTACCCATCCAGGGCACACGTCCGCGAGACAGACAGGCAGACAAACAAAAGAAAGCAACAGATTACTTTCGCGAACGGTCGCGGTGCCGGCCGATGTAGATTGCTTATTTGCACCTGGCGAAGAGCTACAGAATCCGTCCGTCTGCGTCTGATATAAATAAAGTGATCACACTTTTCACTCATAGGTCGATGGACTGTTTTGCTTTCAGATGCGTCTAGTACTCCTGCTGTCAGCAAAAGCTGCAATCGCTGCGTACAGTTTAACGCAAAACATCATTACACGCAATAATATGGCGAGTATCAGGGGCAACCTTAGCGATTTGCATGCACACCACTCAATGCACAGGCCTCCGTTGCCCATCGGGATTACGTGTCCCTGCCCATATACAACACAGTCCTGTCGATTAATTATAGAATTTTTTTGCAAGACAGCCCAGTTCCTACTATCATTTAGTTCGCGGAAGTGATTACTGAGCGTTGCTTTGGCTGGTTCACCAATGTTGCTTATGTTAGAACCGGTCGCTTTGCTGAGATGTTCTCCTTGGTCTTCTGCTATCTCTTTTGTTCTCGACTACTTTTCCGTTTTCTGTTACGACAGCAGGAAACCAGACAAAGAAGGTCTGCAGCAGTCACAGGTTCGACCCCCGAACTCCGTTCAGCTTTCCGTCAAAGTTGCCGTCAATGGATCGCATGCCGTCCACCTCAGACGTGCTTCCGCCGTGAGCTTACGCTAGCTCGTAATGTTCTCTTTCGCCGCTCTCCACCTCAGCAGAACGCTGCGAAGACCAGACAAAAGTCACCGCTTCCGATTCTGATGCGGAAACCAAAAACCGTTGCCCCCATCAGTTAAGTTGCTAGCCTTCAGTCAGCTACAACTCATGCTCGTCTGTTAGTCTACCAATAGTGCTGGTATTGAATCGGAGAAACGCATTCAACTTGAAAGTGGATGAACAATTCATACTGTCTAGAGAATTGCACGACTATGAACCGGCCGTTGCGGCCAAAGACGGGATAAGCATAGAGATGATTCGTGCTGTTTTCGTCGGTGCTTGCTGGCAAAAAAAAAAGACGAAAAACAAAGGAAGAAAAAACCTCACCGCGTGGCAGCGCGCACCATGCGCGGCTGCTGCCGCTATTCCTGATCACCAGGTGCTGATCATCTGGTCGACGCCACCGGTCGACGACGTTAGTTCATTCGTTCGTTCGCCTCGATCGCTTGTCGTGGCGACCGCCATCCCTTCATCGCTGGCTTCGTCTTCTTTGGTTCCGTCCCTCGTCCGTATGGTGTCTGTATGCGTTGTCTCTCTCCGCTACTACTTCTCTGCGTGTCTCGTAAGCAGCGTTTCCGGCGGTTATATGAACTCACCGAGAGGCACGGGCAGCAGTCAACCCCCAGTAGGCTCAAGAAGGCCCCATCCGATCGCTGCGCGAGCCTGCTGACTACAACCTAGAGAGCCGGGGTTAGAGTCGAACAAGTCACCATCGGGTTGGTTCCGTCTGTCCGAAAATATCTGTCTGTCTGACCAGTCGATCATGTATGGTAGACAGCGGAAAGGGAAGGCAATTTATTCTATACGTTTACCGGCTTGAGGACACTTCAGTATTAACAGTGACTTAAAGCGCTAAATATAAGCCAAGATACCCTAGGCTTTTGCCGGCCATATAAGTTTCTGCCTACGACGCATCGCCGGTCAGTCAACTTTAAGGGTGTGGGTTCTAGCGGCCAGGTAAAAGGCTCTATGCTGGCCATCCACCTGGGTCAGCCACTATGCAAGAAGCAGTCGACCCAGTCCAGACAGCTTGACGGTAAATTAGCCTCTGCATTGGTGAAACCTACAACCTGGCTTTAAAGATGCTCATATTAACCCAAATGGATAAACCCAGCTATTCGGAAAAGCAAATACGATGCGACAATGACAAAATGGCCGCTAGTCGCGTCCATAAGTTTGGTTGCTGTTGTACCGTTACACAAAAAGGAGCACACGCTTCAGTGGTTCTAGAATGAGGTGAGGTGAACGAATAATGCGGTGTTAAAGCTACTAGCATAGTATGTAGTAGTGATGGTCACGGACACACATGATACTGCCTATCCTGCTACTGCTCCATGGGTTCTGGTCCCAACGACCGCCGGCTTCGTCAAGCGCTATTGTAGTGCAGCAACTCAACTACACTTCAGCCGCGCTCCGTTCTATTCCCGTTGAAAGGTAGCGGCAGCGAACTTTGACTAGCGGCAACTATCAGCTCCGGGTCCGGGTCTGCAGGCTTGAAAGCCCACCGGCAGCAGACATCGAGAGGGTAGACAGCCCTGCTCGTTCCCCTTCATCTAAAGTAGTACTACTATGTAAATCATACCCCCACCTCCATTGGTGGCAGCAGCAGCAGCAGCAGCAGCAGCACTACGTCCCGATGTGGCTTGACCGGACCGCGGGTTTTTCAGTCAGCGGTGCTCTCGCAGCCCAGTCGCTTAGTGCCTTGCTAGTTCGTGTGTTGCTCTCGCCGCGAACGTTCGGCGGCGCAACCCATTTGAACAGATGGCCAGAAGAACAGTGAGCATCAAGGCTGTGAAGAAAAAGCTAGAGAGAGGGAGAACAGATCGAGTGTTTAGCGCGGCAGGGCGGGCGGGCGGTGGGACAGGATAGCGTGGAGCTAAAGCTCAGTGACAGGCTGGTTGAACGGCTTTGTCAGCGAGCTACGCCGCGGCTTTAGCTACCCCCTGGGGCCGACAACGACATCTCGTGTCGCGCTAAGCGCTTGCTCGCCTCGTTCACTGTGCCGGGAAAAAGAGTAGGAGCGAGAAACGCAGCCTATCCACCCTTGAACGAAAGATGATAACCGTTGGGAACGGTCAAATAAAGGGGTCGGGGGCTCCAGGTAGGCTGCGAGAACATGGACCGGGGTAAAGGAGCTCCCGACGGCTGAAAAGGTGAGGAACACTCGGAGAATCTTAGAAATCGGTCACAGGTAAAACGTTGTTATTCAAAAAAGTTAACAGACAAGGCAAAGAACAAAAAAGACATTCTCCATCGGATTACAGCCTGTACATGATGAGAGAGAAAAAATGAACATAATAAACCAGTCGACACTTGTTTACGCTAAGTACGATGCACGTAAGCCGAATTAAATCGAAAAGTTTCCAGCCCTTTCAAGATAAAGAACTTCAGAAACGCCACCTACTTTCTAAACGGCTTCAGTTTTAGTCATCTATAACATGTCATAGTAGGTTTGTGCACATTTTGCGCAAGTTCTGATACCAATATAAGAGGACGCTCGTTCTACTTTACTGTGTCGCTGTAGCCGTTTGTTGGTAAATTAAACCTAGAACGCATTGTATCTTCCGAGAAATACCGCGTGCTATTCCGCTTCGTAATCAATGAGCTCATTCTAACCCTCTTTCCATTTCTTCTTCACTCGCACACATCCACTTGTGTAACCATCACGTCGTTTCTTGATTCGGACTGCTACCGCCTCCACGCCATGGATAAACCCATTCCTCTTATAATCCAGACTCGCAGCCTATCGTAACCTTCGACGTTTGCTCGTATGTTTGGCTTGACCAATTCATCCGACTAAACACAAGAGTGCGAAAGAGATCTCTGCGGCCTCTGTGTCCACTATAGTTTTGTCTAGAAAAAGAAAAGGGGATGGTGACATGGCCAGCTAGCAGGCGGGTGGCGAAACGGGACTTCGTCTCAGGGATTCTCACGAGGGTTAGTCGTTCTCAAACAAGAGGCCAATGGGGAACCAGACGGGGTTAGGGGAATGATGGTCTCCGCCCATACCGTCTGGCATCTCCCTCCTCTGGCTGCGCTGCTTTTCATTCAGATCAGCTTCTTTTCCCTGACGCGCGCCGAAGTCTGCCTAGTGGGTTAGGGTGATGTAGCGACGGGGGTTATTGGGGGACCAGATGCACTCACCAATTCTGCTAGGCCAGGCTGGCATATAGGCGTCGATAGACCGGCGTCGGCACTGGCATTGGGGTGTCCATGAGAGGGTGTGAGTTGGGAATTCAGAAGGGAAATATTGTAAGGAATATGGGAGGCAAGAGAAACCTCTGTATCACGCTATGGGATGTAGGCGATGAACAAGGGAAACAGGGAGCTTGTTGCACCTTCGCGTGCTTCGCGCTTGGACGTGCACTAGATTGCGAGGAGAGAGATGGAGGGGAGTAAACGAGGAGAGGGGTGACCTCGACGGGGATCAAGATAGATTCGGCAGGAGAAAGATGACGGTCGGCTGAGGTGACGGGGGCGACTACTCTAGGACACCAGCGTAGTGACTTCTGCTATGAAAGTTAAGACAGAAAAGACTAACATAGTGTTTGACTCGATATAGTCCGTACGATTGTAATGTTGCAATCCGTGAAACTGCTGTGAAACGATTGCTATCACCATATTGGATAGTCGGCCTGATGATCATAGCAAGGAGCAGGTTTATTGAAAGTCACAAATACGCGGATAATCGGAACTCAGTGTTTGTCAATAAACTCTCTATTGTTACCCATTGGATGTGTTTGTAGGGCTGTATTGGAACTATTTCTACTGGGAAGGAACGCTGTGACTTTGATTCTACATTTACTGTGGAAGTTGGGAGTTTCGACATGAGCACTGAAGATTTTTTTGTTGTTTCAATAGCCTGCATAACTAGGTCTTCGACTAAAAAGCCGGTGGCGAGTCATTTTTGTGTGACGGTTTTTTAGGTCGCGAGAGAACTCAACATATTTATATTATTTAAGTTTTTACTCATTGTGCTGTCACTAGTGATGATTTTTGGAACTCTGGTAAAAATTAGGTTGCAGAAAGTACCAAAGTTGTTTAAAAGACTATTAGGAATTCGAACAATTACCATTGCTTAAAAATACAAATAAACGTATTCTATATTTTACTGCCTTCCAAATAAAGAAGTGAGCGATACCTGTCACAGGAATACCTGTTACAGGATCGGTATCTATCTGATACGGTGATTAGTGGGGTTTTCGTTCACCAAAAAATAGGAGCCACCCGACTTGACAGGGGTCAAAAATATTGCCGACAACACGAGTCGCTCCCACACAAATAGCTCTAGACTGAGCCCTTCTTCCTACTCCGTGTACCGCGCGATATGATGTTAACAGCTGTAACAAACAAAGCGGACTTGAGAGATCGTTGACTCCAATTTGTGCACACTCGTAACGTTCATTTTCAATACGATACGATAAAATGTGTCTGCGGTCGTCCTGCCAAGTAACAAAGAACGTTACGTCTGGCAGCTCTACGGCCAACGCTAGCTAAGTGAGCAGGCCCTATGAAAGCGTAACTCGTAGTTACAACTGGCATCACTCCGCGCATCGAGCAAAACAAGAATAGAGTAGCATATGTACATAGATTAAATCGTTTCTCTTTCTTTATACTCTCAGCCCATAACGATGACCACCAGGTGGTTGCGCCCAAAGCGGACAGTATTGTGGGGGCCCTGTATAACTAATATTTCCGTCATTAGATACGAAGAATCCTCGAACAACCCGTCAATGGTGAATCGAAAACTTTAACAGCGGTGTAATAAGTTCAATTATTAGTTGCAGCATAAGCATGAATTATTCCATAGCAAGTTTTTCGCAAGTTACTACTCACAAGTTTGTCCGACGATCTGTCTGTCCGTCGTTTCGTTTCACTGTCGTATCCAAAGTTCGTAGAGTTCGTAGAGCGAAACAGTAAGCCTGTCCACAGGAACTAATGAAAAAAATCTTGCCGTTTATGTTTTTGTATTTTGTAAGAGATAAGGAAGCACAAATATTCACAGAGCACAAAAATAACCTTGAAAAACACCAATGTTCGTTCAAACCCTAGATTTGTGGCGTGTGGCGCCCTCTTCTAAGGTTTTTGTCGTTGCCGCCGTACTTGCGTCTTTCGATCGATCGTTTGTCGCTTCCTGGAGAACACACCTCTTCTCTAGCGGGGCGTACTCCGTCGTGGGTCGCCTAAAGGCGAATGATTTGTCTGACCAGATGGTAGGTTCTTTTCTCGGGGGTGCGGGAACAGCCTAGCCTGCCACCGGTGGAAAGGGCAGACGTCTGGTAGAGCGCAGAGATGTCGGTCGTATGTGCGCTCGCACCATGTGAGTCTACTACTTCCACCGCTACGACGCTCAATAAATACCCACTACCCACGGGCTGCAGAGCACATGGCCTGCGTATCTCCTTTCTCCTTCTCTTTTGCTATCTTTCTGTGTCTGGCTGTATGACTACTCTGGCCGCTCCTAGGACAAGCACACGGCGGACCACGAACGACCGATCACGAAACGACGAACACGACAGGGCAGCAGAAAAGCGGCCTGTCGCCTGCCGGGACTAGGACTGAGGGGGAACCGCAGAGAACGATTGACATTAGCGCGACAATGGATGAATGAAGGCTACAAAGACTACGCTTCATTGAGGAGATCTCACAGCAGTATAGCAGAATCTCTGGTTTGCTCAGAAGAGGCTTAAAATTGGATAATGTTAGGGCAAGATTAGATTCTCTTTTAAACTGCTTTGCAAACAAAGGCGACGGCGCGAGCAGACGCGTTGCATTAAGCATGTTCTACTGCAATTAATACTGTAATCTACATCGTAAGATACTGCGAGCGAGGTGGCAAAGAAGCTTTGCCCTGTTGCAAGCGTCAAGCAGACACAAAAAAAAGCGGCGACACAAAGTTGCAGAAAATGGCTAAACGACACAATAAGGATTTGATCGTCCTTACAATGGTTTGCCTTTAGATGTTGCCTTTAAATGTTGCCTTTAGATTGTTGATAGAAATTGCCCACACGTGAAACGTTTCTGCATCTTGTTCATTTTTGCCTTACGTAGCGAAACCCAAATGCCCTCGCAATAGTTTAAAAGCCGACAGTTGCAAGACGGACCGAACTCTTCACTGAAACGATCACTATCAAAATGAGGCCTGTTTCTACTACACCCTTTTTTCGTTCTAATTTTCATGACAACTCCTTTTATCGATGCAGAGCTAAATGTTGGTATTATTAACCGTGAAGTGCGGAGCGAAGTTTAATAGCTACTTCAATTTTGGACGTGTCCGGATAACAAAGCTAACCATTCGTTTGTAGCACCAAAAAAAAGTAACGTTCTCTAATTAACTTGACAGCAGTACAGCCGAATTATCTGTCAATCGAATCAGAAGAACCTATCAATCAGTCGATTAGGCTGTGGTCAGGTGCATTGTCCCAGGATTTAGATGAACTCATTTTAAGGTTAAAGAAAGTGCGGAAAGGACATATTTTAGAGAACTCTATGAAACTCAGCAGTTTTTCAAAAGAAGGCTACATACACTCCAAAAGGTATCATCGAAGATGATCGAAAAAAAAAAACATCCTTCTGCATTCAACTCAATTGCTCGACCGCTATACTGCACGATGAATCCTACTGAGGACAAGGTCAGTTCTTACAGCAACCTAGAAATGACGGAGCATCTATGCACTCTAATCTTGAAATAAGTTCGCACTAATCTTGAACTTCTCCGGTCGATCGGCTGCATCTGGTCTTCGTCATAGGTCCGTCTAGGACATTGTACGAGTTCCTGACGCAGGCTGACAATATTTTAGTACTAAAAATACAAACAATGGGTCAGCTATAAATACGGCTATTGCATAAATTCTGAAAAAAGTTAACAATAATATTGCGTTTATCGATTGCTTCGTAGAATTAAGTTGGAAGGCTACTTTTGCGCAGTTTTTTGCACAGATGTTTTTCTTAGGGGACCAGTTTGGGAAGCGTTAAAAAATGGACGAAAACAAAAAGTAGATCTTTACCTATTTGACTTTCTGCCGTCAGAGCGTATGTTGGTGTTTGAAAATGGCCAATATCACAATCAGGTACGAAACTGTCCATAGAAATAAGCCGAAATAGTTTGCGTTGGGAATCGTTGTTAATTCGAAATTTGAGAGACGGATACCTGAGCCGACGCGTAAGCTTTGCCACAGTTATAGATACGCTACGAAAAGATCAAAAAGCCAATTCGTCGGGACCCAGCATCTTGCCGTTCAGTGACTCTTTGTCATCACAGAATCGTATTACTGTTACATTTGGCTATGGACGCATCGTGTACGAACGTACCACGCTGATCTTCGGATCTCTAATATCAGCACGAGATCTAGGTAAGTATCTCTGCATGATTATCGATATCTTTTTCATTTGCACAGGCCTTGTTCAGTTCAGCGACGGTTATATATGTGTTCGATAATTGAAGTTCTAGATCTTACCAGATGCTCTACCTACATTAAATAGCACAAGTCGCTTATCCTTAGTAAATATCATTCACAGGTGTCTCCATAACAACTCCTGCAAACAACGACGACGACGACGACGACGACACCACCAACACCATCAACATCAACAACAACAACAATAACAGCAGCAGCAGCAGCAACAACAACGGCAGCCAGACAAAGCGACGCAGCACGATCTTATGGCCAACACTCGTACACTTTGTTGCGTAGCCGTTACAAATACAAGTGGATCACCAAAATTACGGGGCCAAACATAAACATTGGCTGTCATTTAGTCGTTTCTGTGGGGTATATTCGACATCGTTGTCTTCAGTCAACGAACAGTTAAACGCGACCTCGTTCATCAGCCTGCCTATGACAGCACACAATGAATGAATAGATCGTTAATTGAAAAGTTCGATTTTTGAGGGTGTGCACAAAGTACACGACTATGAAAATATATAGTATATTCCTTTTTTCTAACAAGAGGAAAAACGTTACTTTCAAGCGGCACGAATGCAACATTTCCCAGACTCATATGGGACAGATGTTCCCTGCTGCTGGGATTCGGAGCACCTAAGTTACTTTCAAACGAACTTCAAAAGCTTCCACTAGATAAATCAGCTAAGTACGTTTGCAATTTACCAAATGTTTTATAGAAGCATTCAGGGTCTACAGTTTGTCTGGCCTTCGTCACAGCTGTATCCTGTAAAGCAGACTGGAAGCCAGTATAGTCCGTTCACTACATTGATTTCTATGACACAAACACACTTCAACCTATCTGGCGACTATATCAACTACACTGTGTAGAATAAATATTGGACATAAAAGTCCAAGCCATTATAAGGCAGAATTTCCTTGATGACACAATTTTACAACCGAAAACTCAGGCTAATAGTAAGCCGACCTGTGATATCGTATTTTTATACTCCCTGTAAAGCGTGACCACGCGTTAGATGACCATGTTCGTGAGAAAAACCGTTATCGCTGCACGCACAGTGCACTATCTACAATCGATGATATCGCAGACACATTACGCCAAACACAAGATAAGGTTTTAATGGCTTATTTAGAGATTTGCCTTAAGAAACGAGGTAGAGCCAAATTTAGGCCGAAGGCCTCTTAAAACCTGGCTTTGGTAAATAATGCATCATGCTTGGCCTAGCACGCTTAACGCTAAATGAGTGCGTAGCACTCTCATCTCTAGCTGAAAGCACAGTTTTTTTTTTTATGGAATACAGACATTTTCCTTCTAGCTCAGTCGAGAAACAAATATCTTCGCATAAAGTCATGAAGGGCTCATATAATTCCACCCTCTGAGGCTATCTCTATAGGCTTTTTTGATTTAATTTTTCTAGAAATTAACGATTCGTTGTAGAGCAGAACGCGAAATAGAAAAAGTCCTTGGAGAACGTACTGGTACGTGCCACCTTTTCCTCAAGGTAAATTTCAACTGACCTGTGTATATTTTTAGTTGATGGTTTCATATATTGTCTTTTAAAGGGCAGCGGGAGGTCAATATGGATCTCTTGTCGTCGATATAGATTTGGACACTGGGCGCATGCCTACGGGAAAACACACGACGATTTCGCCGTTGCCTTTACGTAGCAGCACCCTACGTTTGCTGTTGTCCACGTAAATCTTATTGGCATTAACCAGTTCGGCAACAAGATAGTGTAAAGCATGAAGCCACGATGAGTGACTTGATCATGTGGCTTCAAATTTTTGTCTGGTATTGTCATGTTGACCCAGGTCAGCAAGTGGACCGAGGCGCCTGCAACGGGTCTGGAGTGTGTACTTACTTTAGAAGATTCCTCTGACACTTCCGTTGAATGAACGCCGATTTGTCTATGAATAACCTTGTATGCACGTACACTTGGTCATAAGAAAGCCTGCGTGGTTTTGTCCTTAAATAACAAATCGGGCAGTCAAAAGTGTTAGTCATACATGACCCGATGGTACTGCTAAAACCGTGCCGATCTTCGTTAGGTTTTCCTGTTTGTCCAATGCGTACTTACAAAGTAACTATTTTGTGCGGCGTTAGATCAGTTAAGTACACTGATATACCGATCTCAGTGGATCTAGAAGCGACTCTAGCTGGCGCGATTTTTAAATATTCTGTTATCTAACGGTGTACTTCGAAGAACGCTCTATCCATCGTAAACTTCAGTTTAGACAGGCTTTCACTGTTAATTTCATAAAACTTATTCAACCTAAATCAGGCGGAAGGCAACCTAATTATACTCTAGTAGACATTGTGTCAGGTTAACTTTTTTCGATATCGTATATAGTTTGATATTTATAACACACGGCAAGTGACAACTTCGCGATCAACATAACTAGTAGCAGGATTTATTGAACGTATGGTACGATCGTGTGTCGACCTTCCAGCCCGAAAAGTAATAACCCCAATGTGACAGCAGTAGGCATGGCCATTGACTATCTAATAAGTCTATTGGTGTTCATCATCACCAGCACGATTGTGCTGAAGCACGACGACGCTGATGCTCTACCAGGTGATGTCGCGGACGACGCTGGGTCGTTGAATACGCGAAATACGCGGTTCGTTGGTCCGTGGAATCATCATCGTCGATAATTGGCCATGAATAAGAGCGCATACTTACTGTCATAGATCGAGAGAGATACTTACGGTTAGAGCCAAGTAGGCAGCTAAGACGTGAGAGGCCGACAGACGGAGCATGCCGCTACTTATTGTAACGGACCTCCATTCTACTCGATCGGCAGCCGTCTACCCCGCGAGAACTCACAAGCTATGCACATAAACATCATCTCGCCCGCCTTATCTATCTTAATATCTGACAGAATTTGCGTAGGCGCGTGTGCTGTCGCGTACTGAGTACTTCGTATCGTGAGGGATGTTGAAGGCCAGCAGAAGCTCACTGTGGAACGAGTAGTTATAACCTAGGCTCCGCGGCAGCATGCAGGGGTTAGGCACAGTGTGAGTTAGCTCATATCTACTGCACGGCCCGAAACGAGAGCCACGATGAAGTAAAGAAGAGATTAACTGTACCTTCTGACTACCACAGGTAATTCTTCACTGATCCATTACGGTCTCGGAAAGTCAATGCCAAAGTGACAACACAGCGATGATAGAAACATAAACCAATGCCCGATAATAATGGGTTAAAATTGTTAATTCGGATCTGTTGACATAGCGACCACAGACCGTAATTAATAATGTTTGATTCTTTACAGTAGTTATTCAATGGGGTATCGCTCTCGAGCAATTTATTTCACCCCTATAATTTACCCCTGGTATAGTTGAAGCTGCAAAATCCTACTGTTCGCTGTGTATTTCATCTATATGTGAATCAGGTACTTCTGCTATGGAAAATATGATAAATTAATTTAAATCAATTATTTCAAAACGGATAAGTGTTTAAGTCCTCAATTGTTTCTCGCCTTTCACGAAACCGAGTGAAACTCAAGTAGAATTGTCTGTGGTTGGATAGATAGCGCGTTTAGTCTAGCTCATTGCTTCTTGGAACTTACGCGTAACTTCCACGGCCAACCAGGGCGGGTTAGCGAAGGTTAACGAACTTTCACTTGTACATATTTAGACACTATTCCAAAAAAAAATATAATACCTACGTTTTTTTTGGCAAAGTTGTCCATACGTAAGTTGTGGTGAAAAAAACGAATCACAAACGTAATTTCTTCTTTCATTTTCAAAGCATTTACCCAGTACATAATGGTTTCATACAAAAACATCTATGTTTTGCCAACATAGCATGAAATTTCAATAGAGAAAAATTATTAAATGTGTTCGATACGTATGTATTCTTGTATACATACCATCCTATCCGTAATTCTTTTTTTATCAATTTTTCCATTGTGCTACGGTGTAGCAACATAGAGTAAGTAATATGTGTAACACGAGGACCCAATTCGAAGTTGTGCATTGTATGCCACGCATGGATATACGTAAAAGAACTTGGTGGATTGTCAAGCGTGGGCAAAGAAACGGTTTCATCTCGTTTAAGCTTAAATCATTAGACTTTCGGAGAACAATGCTATTCATACCTAAAATCATTCATTGAGTACCGATTTACTACAGGTCTGTTTGAAGGTCACAAGGACATTGTGCATTTAAAAAAGTACTGAGTCACGGCTGCCTTCCCTTTAGGCCTCCACTCCCTGTATATTGAACGAACCCGGATCTAAGCCGCACGAAATTTCTAAATAGATCATCCAGAAAACATGTAAAGCATCTTTGTTGAAACGACTACGAGCTTCACGTCTACGTTGTTGACATGACTACGGCCGTTAATACTACCATACAAGAGTTATCTTATGTGTGATAGCCGATAGGTGCTTTCTGAGCACAGTTAAGGTCACCGCTGTTATACCAAATCAGATTAGAAAGCGAATAAATTTTTATACAAAAAATTATTTTTTTTAAGACGCACAAGTATAAGAACTGTAGTTGATCGCCGCACCGTCTAGTCTATCCGAGTTGTCAATCTATGTTTGATTTAACAAAGCACATGTGTATTCAAAATTATACTGGTCACCGTTCGTGCTCACCTGCTCGATATAGGTTTTCCGTTGGGAAAACAAAAAAACATCATGGTTCCTTTCTTAATCTCATCTGTTTGAGTCATAGGTTAAGCTATCGCCAGTCTCTTCGCAGCTAAATTTTGTACACACTTTCTACTAATCACACACTGACTATCCTCGTAACGTTAGAGTTATCGTTGAGTATTTCGACTATTACGGGCTGAGGGCCCAAAGTATTAGCGAACTCTCCTGTTGTGTTACGACTGCCTCCTTATGGTTTAATAACGTGCATTACTGTTTTGGTGTCCTCTTTGGCGAGTATGAACAGACGTTCCGGCGATCTATTTAAAATGGGTTTGAACTTGCCTCTTCCCTTGTCTGTATGTCTGGATATGTGTGTCTCCATGCCTGTGGGGTCACTGACTACCATACGATACCGGTTCTAGCCAACCCAGGGAACAACCAGCGGTTGACCGGCTTTAGCGCTCTCGATCGTCAATAGGCGATTGACCAGTCAACTTAATCTAAAGCCTACAGGACGGTCTACCTAGAGAGAATAAACGAGCCCCCGGGGTCCGTATCGCTCGTCTGCCGGGGTCCGGAGTCCAAAAGAGACCGAAAAGGAGTGGCCCGCCTGAAGGTGTCGGAGGGGTGCTCGGCGATCCAAACGCCAGCAAGATGGGTCGCTGTCCTCGCCGCGCTCGCCGTCAAGTTAAGTAGGGTACCAGGCACAACAACGCCAGCTACCACCGAGCGCTAACCACTGCTGCTTCGGGAAGACCGGAAAGCTGGCTCCACTGGTGATCATGAAACGTAGACATGCCAGCTGGTCCTCCTTGTGGTCTATCTCAGCGCTTTTTGTGTGAATGTAGAATGATAGTGGGGTGCCTGCGTTGTCGTAGGAGCAGTTGCAGAAATAGTACCAAGAGCCACAGCTTAGAATGAACGGCCGTAGATCTCGGGTAAGCGGGTGGCCCCGGAAGCCAGACACTTCTGCACTGCTCCTCAGAATCGCCCTACCCTTGTCTTCGTTATCTTTTTTGCTCCGTTAAACCCATGTGTGCACTCGCCTTCACCTCATTGATTCTGTTGCACTACCATTCACTTACCTTTATGTGGCTGACCTACGGATCAACTCCGCAACGAGCGAATTGCTCACAACTACTATCAGTTTCTGTGCCTTGTAACTGCCTGAACAGCTCATACTTGTGTGTATACAGTGTATTATTATAAATGCAATGAAGTGGAGCCGAAGTGGGCGATGACCACTGCCAGTGTTCCCTCTACTTTCTTTCCAACATCTGACCAGCTACCTCCAGCCAGACACGCCAGACGCTACGAACACGTTCCAAATGTAAATCTATAGTATAAATACACACGTTAGTTTTTTTCTGAAGCTGAAAGTATTAGGCTATTGGCCTGGGCTGATGGACGGACGGCCAGGGATGGTGAACTACCGGACTAGATTGGTTCCATAATTTGGAGCGGTGGCCTATTGCGATGCTGGTGCTTCAAGACAACAGCTGGTCGTCGCCCGGAGTTGAGTCGAGGTACAAGTTGAAGCTGAGGCCTAGGCAAGTCGGCGATAGTGGAGCTCTGTTCGTTTATGCTTTCGCTGTCTAAACGGAGAAGATAGAACAAAGAATAGAATCGCTGGTAGGTAGACAGGCCTAAGTTAAGATGCCAGTTAGGAACAGCCGAGGAACGGAAGGGTTCTTGCGGCTGATGCGCTACAGGCTGCCTGGATATTACCCGAATATGGTTTGTAGAATCACAGAAGCAGGACAAAAGCGTATAGGAGAACCGGTGGGGCCATCTTGTTGGAAGTTTGGCCGGGTCTGTATAGCTTTACAAGCAGTAAACGGATGGCGGCGAGCGACGCATGGTCGATGGGTCCTAACCATCGACAGGCAACGAAAACCGGCCACAGAATAGCAGGATATGGACAAGAATGAGCAAGTCTGCAGACGAAGACCAGACAGCAGCCGCGGTACACAAACCGAAACTCTATAGCAGGAAAAGACAATAGTTCAGCCCACGCACTATTTGAAATCGTCACCAGCCACGGCGGTTACACGTGCTGGTGCCTGGCTGCTGATCGCGGGCAGAAGTGACAACTTTTGCGCGGAACGTTCAGCTGCGGCACCTTTGGTAGGACCTTGGTAGGCTGAAAGCAGATAGATATGGAGGTAATGAGATTCGTTGGGTCCGCCATTTCATGGACGAAGTGTACGCAAGGCAGGACGTTCTGCGTTGTCTCGTTTTGCCAGCTTCGCGCCAAGTACGCTTTCATTATTGCCATCTAAGAGAATGTAAGCATTGCCAACTGACCCATCAAGGTATACAGAGAAAAAGGGTTTATGTAATGACAAAGTAGTTGTCCCCCAGCTCACTACAGCACCTTCATTTATTTGTGTGCTAAAATTTCTAAATTTGCAAATTACCACTATATGACAAGGTAGTTTTTTTTCGTTCCGAGTTATATTCTCGTCATATAATATTTATATCAGGAGATATTGAATGATACCTTGTTTCAGGAAATAAATAATTTTATATATTTTATTAAGTCTTCCTTCATTACACAATCTTTCATTATTATCTCACAATAGTTAGGTCATTTTCATTTCTCTCTATTACTTCATTTATCTTGTATTATATTTTTCTCTTTTCCAGAAAAGATCATTTCATTTTTCGTGCGAACTGTAATAATAATAATACTAATAATTTATATTATTATTACAAATAATAATAATAATTAGTAATAATCACTGCTTATACTGTTGTCTTTTCCTTTTCTTATTAGAACAGCCTTTCTCAATCGTTCATCTATCACTACTTCGCCTGTCTCATTCTCTACGTACGATGTTGCGTACGATTCGAAAAAAAAAAAAAAAAAAAAAAAAAAAAAAACATTTTTATAAATTATTTTTGTCGGCTTTATCGGTTTCATAAAGTTACTGTCAAATAATACTTGTAATAATAATAATCATAGCAGAAAAATAATCATATTAAAAATATTATTATTAATAGATATTATGATTATGATACTAATAAACTTTTCAGCGCTAACACCGTTCCGTCGGCCGGCTTTTGGCCGAGGTACGATCTGTACTCCTTGATCCTTACACATGATAAACATTTTATATCCCTGTTTTCTGCCGAAATATGTCCTACCTAATGATCATAGTAAGTAAAGATCTCTATGAAAAGAGGGACAGAATGATACACCAACTGCGCAAACATCGTCTCGTGTTCAGTTGCACATCTCAGTCAACAATAAAGACCAATTAGACAGATATCGTTCATCGTTTCGATCCGAACATGGCGCCGTCGTGATCGAATGATGGCACGACCCAAGATCTTAGGCTGGGAGAGTGGACATAGTATGAAATGAGGCTCCGGCAGATTGGCGACCCCTCCGAAGTTATCTTTTCACAGTATTCTCATCGGTAAATGTCGCCGCAATTTTCCGTTGAGCTGGTTAACGCGCGGTTAGTGCAATTGGCTAAAATCGGGAGATCGCTAAAACATCACGACGGCTATATCAGTTGAAGCAAAAACGTAGCGGAAAGTGAAGAAGCTTCAACAGAAAATCGCGCGCTTAAGAACGAACAGAAACAACATGGACCTTGTTTGACAGATACAGTTTTTCTTTGTGTGTGTTTTTTTTTGCAAACTTAATCTCGCAATAATTACAGCTACCGAAAGGGAAGAATATAGTTAGAAGGGCGTACGACGTTAGCGCAACTTAGAAGCGGGATCATCGACATAAGAAAATTGTTCATATTTGACAAACTAAGCAGTGGCCTGCCACAGAAACCGCCCGAAAAGACGTTTCTTTTCTATCCAACAGGAAGGTAGCTTGTAAAACTCACCTAAAAGAGCGTATATACGTTTATATAATAGATCTGTACATACATATAATTAGCACATATCTATATTTCTTTTTTTTACCTCTCCTATGTGCGATATCTAGAACGCTACCTCTGACCAGACCAATAGTAAACAATATACTCGTCACATCACTTGAGCGCAGCTGAACAACTATATATATATATATCCTCGCTCCGGGTGTATAGGCACAAACAAATGAAGTATCTATTAGCTTACTTCGTCCTTCTTTGCGCTTAACCGCTCCATACAATGTACAGTGAACTTGATTGATCTCTGTCCATATGCATGCCTTTATATGATAATGGCTAGCTAGCTATGTGTACCCATACGTATAAAAATCATAAGAAATAGTCTACAGAGGGCGCTCGCACATCTCGTACGATTTTACAGTTTGGTTGTACTTCGATAACTGACGGGTTGGTTGGGTAAAATGGCCGTGTGGAATAACTCGGGGGTGGATTAGGGGTTATAACAACATCGCATCTTTTCCTCCAGTGAGCTTCGTTTGTTGGGGGCGTATTTTGTCACTCGGACCCGCCAGTGTCGTCGTTTTGCTCCCTAGTTGCCTATATTCGACTACATAGCGGCACGACAATTATGTCACAGATAACAAATGACGTGACGAAATATAAAACACTGACTATATATGTATTTCCTATTGTTAGTTACCACTAGCGCGTCTCGTTCGTAGTACGAAAGGCGACTGGGCATGGAGGCGAACCATAATGGTATTACTGTTAATTAGATATTTATAAATGTGTACACAGCGGGGGGTTACGGCCCATTTAACGAAGGTATGGACGGACAGACGGTTTCGGTTGCTCAGTCCAGTTCGTGTGATTTTCCTATACGTCTTTAGATATATGTCTGTTTTCTCTTTACGTGTCCACTTCATCGATCGGCTGTCTTTCAGCACGAGACAACGTGTGTCCATGCTCGAATTTAAACCCACACTGCAACGATTGGCAAGTATACACCTTACCCGCTAAGCTATCATGGAAACTACGTGCCGATTACCTTTAAGCCCTATAGATGATGCAGGGCTAAACATGTGTTACTGTTCGCGTGCTGTTTGTCTTCCTTTATCACAATCTATATGCACACACGCATATGCTACTCTTGTACGCCACATGCCTACAAAAAGTTAAGGTTTAGAAAGCGTCTTTGTAAACAGCGTGAATGTATTGGTAGGGCCCCAAAAATGGAAAAAGGTCTTTCTTTTTATCTTATTAGTTTATAAATATGTATGACTCTAATTAGTTTGAATTACATTTCTTCCCACGTTAGGATTTCGTTCGTGCGTCGTATGTGTAATCATTACCTGTTAGGTGGATATCCTACTCTAATTAATTAAGGTCTCTGACAGGTGACACAGGTGAGCCGGCATCATTATCTTCGCCATTACTGTGGCTCTCCGAGAACGAGTACCGCTTTGAGGAATCGGGCGGAGTGAGGGGTGATACTCTTGCTGCGACTCCTTGAAGGCTCTGTAATCCTTGTAATGTGTAGGTAATGCAGTTGAGGTGGGCCATCATTTGTCGTTGGAACAGCATTTGGTTCTCAGCGTTGACCTTGTTATCCGTAATGATCTTTTGGAGCAATACATGAATCCTCTTTTGCTCCTGAGCTGTGTAGGAGCAGCTGGAACACTGAGGCGAAACGGACCTCTGAGGAGGCTGGATGACAGGGGTTTGTGACTTCGACGGACCCGTTGGTGGTGCGCCGACCACGTTAGGGGGCAGGCCAAACATCATTCCTTGGTGAAGTGACAAGTTGATAGGGAGAGCTGGTGCAGGCGATGGCGGAGCCGGGGGTAGCGGATCATTGTGCAGTTCTTCCTTGCAGAGCCGCTGGTGCCTGTAAGCCTGCTCCAGGGTGGCGTATATCGCTGGCGAAGGATAGGGAGTGACATGATGTGATGGTGCGGGCGGCGGATGCAATGGAATATGACAAGGCAAAGGCGTGATAGCGCCTGTAGGAAGAGACGGCGCGGTGCTCGAATGTTGCGGAGTCGGCGTGTCTGGCGGTGTACGGGCCACGGGCGACGATCGCATGCTCGACGAATTCGACGACGTGCTCAGGGAGCTTTTTTCCTTAGGAGCGGCTATCACTGTTGGGCTATGACCATTGGAGCTGGGCACTCTCTGCTTGTCACTTCGGGTTGATTTGCTTTCTTCATGCTCAGATGAGGAGGAATCATGGTGTTCGGTCTCTGAAGAAGCACCCTCTGGTACTTCGGCGTTCATCGAGATCGGGCTGTCCGACGCTGGAAGTCAAACCGAATGAACGAACGCTGTTTGTTATCAAGTAGGGTCGTGCTATCTTCTGGTGACTTATTGTACTACCTAGACAATAAAAACAACAACAACAACGATGCGGGAGTGTTATGAGCATAAAAATAACGGCGTAGAGGTCATCGTGGTGATTGTTGCGATTCAGCTGATTCAGTTGACGGCTGCTTACGTGGATGTCACAGTGTGACGCAAGTGACCTCGTTCCCCAAACATCACGCCGCCATGGACTGCGTCGAGTGCCGGGGCTGTATCAAGAAAAGCCGGTTCTTCTATAAACGAAGCAGAAGCAACGAACAGCAAAGGCCCCACTCTAGCAAGCGTGTCTACTACGAAAAAACAAGCAGACGGATATCAAGGGCTGCTCCTTCTTCGTCGCCATATTTGGCGTTCCATCGAAAAAAAAGTGTCTTCATCTGCCCGGTTTATGTGTGGCACAAATGAACTTCTGGCAACGCTTTCTGGAGTCGAACGCAGAGTGTTTGCTGGCTGTGGCCGCTCTCGGCTTCTGCTGCCGCCGTCGCCCGTGACGGCATCTGGGTCACGACGGGGCTGCTGACCATCGACTGCCGCGACAGAACAGCAGCACGGGTCGGCTACTGCTTCAGTACTTCGCTATGCGCTGAATAGCAACTGCGCCAAGAGACTATGGAAGACTACGAAGAGCTACGGGGCGGCAAAGCAGCTGATGAACTTTCGACCGATTGTCCGCGCTGTTGCTGCTGGTCAGAAGGGCGGCGGCAGTTATAACAGCAGCAGCAGCATTCAGACAATACACGGGAACGCGGTTTCAGCAGCAAAGCGACATAGACGAGTGGCAGGCAGTCGATGGCAGTGCCAAATTGTCTGCAGGCCGTCGCCTATGCAGTGCTTCAGAATAGGTGGCAGGAATTACCGATCCCGTAGATACATGGAGCACCCACTATTTCGGTACCTGGTAAGTCACAATCACTAAATTCGGTGATGTAATCTACCGCTCGCAAGATTACACTGTCACACTACGGTAAAATAGCAGTAGCAATCAGCTTTATACTGCGCTTAGCAATACGGTTAACGAGTGCAAGCTACGGTCAACATCGACAAACGTACATAAACTTGGGCTTAAGATCGTTGGCCTATTCCTGAACGTCTAGAAGTTAGCTAAGTAACAAACTACGATGAAATGTGCCATACGGCATCAAAGCAAACAAAGTGACCAGTTTATATGGTTAGCTAGCTGCACTGGCCTACTTGACCTATTCAGTGGCAATTAATTCGCAAACCATTTATAGTGAGAAGTTAATGTCGCCTCATCATTTTTAGAGATGTGCATATAGTTGACTTTCCTGAATTTCTGAATGACTGCGTAAGCCACCTTATGTCTGAATACAAAGATGGACGCTGTTCAGTGGATAGCTACTGTCGGGTTTTGGTTCAGCTGGTTTGGGAAGCGGTTCGTGTATATCGCGAGCGTCGTCGGCTGCTTCTTCTCTTAGACGAAAAGCAAACTAGACTCTGAACGGTAATGGTTAGACCTAGGTTTGTCGTACTGGACCGTTTACTCTATTCTCGTTGTGTAGTAGAGTGCTCTCGGTCTGCTATCGTTGTTCATTCGCAGCCGAGATCGGGGTCTAGCCAGCGGGGGGGTGTAGGAGGCAACCATCGGGAGGCCAGCGACTATCCCACAACAATGGGAGTTCGAGCATAGTAGAATTGGGGCACCAGCCACGGCGACTGACTAAGCCGAGGCTGTTCTACCAGTTGGGCAGTAGTAGGCAGCAGGCATTATCGCCGACGGCGGCAGCTGGATGGCGGCGTTAACATGGCCACAAGGCGGTGGCGGCTGCAGCGGCATCGAGCACATCATCTCCAGCGATGGGCTCCAAGAGCGAAGCCCAACAGAGGGGATGGCGAGAGCATCAGTAGAGGTCGTCTGGGAGAGCATCTGGCCCGGCCGCTCTCGATGCGTCTCGGGGTCAATGACGGCAACAGCCTAGAGGAAGTTCCCTAGCAGTCCCCCCGTCCTTGTATCCAAGATCGCAGACAACGTCGCACGCTCAAGTCCAGCTCCCATGCTTGCATTCCCATAGGATTGGCTAACGACTGCACGTCCTAAACCACCAAGACATACGATTTGGGCCTAGCAATTTGCATAGCTACCTGAATATACGTAGTTCAACGAAACATCGCACGTTGCTTGCCTCACCACGCGAATACGCGAAGTGTGCGCCTACTGGAGTAGAAGCGAAGTATACATTCGACTTTACACAATGATGATTGACGGACGAGCCGTTGTCGTATCTGTGACGACTATACACCTCGAGCGTACATAATAGATAGACGGCAAAGTATACAAAACCAATTCCGTCTTGTTACATCATATGTGGACGCATAATTCCACGACCTAAATATGCATACAGCACGCGCTCAGTACAGAAGAAATCAATTCTAATTTATTGTTCCTGCACAGAATTGCACTGTTTAGCATTAAAGACTATGTCATACAATTGACCAAATAGGCCACGCGCAACTTCTAGCCAAAACGTGATAACTTCCGATAAAGTTGAAAACCATGCATCGAATTTTTGTTGTGCAAACGCATGCACTACTTGTAAAATTGACATGGTATTTTAGTCTTTTTCAACAATTTCCACGATGACTTTTCATGAAACTTAGAAGCGCTTGCTTTTGCATGAAAAAAACAGTGGGCAGTTATAAGAATTGTTAGCCCCGACCTTGAGCGTCACTCTCTTCAGGCGCTCCCGCTTAACGTTAGCTCTCGAAGAAATCGCAGCTAGAAACGCTAGCGAGTCTCATCAGCCTGTGAAGCCCTAGTGCACGCAGGGAGCCAGCACAGCTAAAGTCGAAGCCAGTTCGCGCCACATGGCCTGCTTTGTTAGGGCAAACACATGAATGGTTGGCAGGCGGGGGGGAGAGAGAGGATACTGCTCAGGAAGTCTAGCCTCGGGAGAAGCGAATCGCGCCGAATTACCGAGTACCAGGTGAGCTACAGCCGGGTACGCTAGAGGAGGTAGATATACCAGGGCTGGGGTGAATTAGGGGATACAATGCTGGGAGTGAAAGAACCAAATCCATCCAAAGCGTCGGTTCTACGACGAGGAGCAAATCGGGCAAGCAAAGCAGCACAGATGGCCAAGTGTCCGGGTTCAAACCCACTCAGCTCAGTGCGCTAGTCATCCGGACAGTCAACCTGGGTTAAACGCGGGCTGGCTACACGAGGCGGCCATATCTAGTCTCTCGTTCCGAGAGTTTCGAACCGTCCAAAGCAAAACTCGGGTTCGCAGGCCAAATTGCGCTGTGTGGACGGCATTATTTGCACCAGGTGTGGTGGCATCACCAGGGGTAAGATAACTGTCGCTAGCTAGAAGAAAGAATAGGGACTAAGATACGACAGTCATTATGACGAGACATTATGTACAGAGAGCGAGTACTACAAAAAGGGGATGAACCAGTTTCTAGCTATATATATAGTACTGTATAAAGTAGATCCACACTCGTCTGTACTTGTTTCTTCCTGTAGCGCTGCCTCCTTTGTTTTTCTCGCCAGGCCGTACCCTAGCGCATCGGTCGCGCCATAACGGTCCCGTCGTATCTATCTCTAGATGTCAGAGAATAACCAACTAGCCTTAGTGAACAGCCCGTATGTGTAAAACCAGCCGCCGCGTAAGGGGGACATGCCACTCTGCCACACTTGGTCGGGAGGAAGCAACGCTGGTTGAACTGCCTGCCGTTGCCTGGCCGGCACCAGCGCTTCTCGTGGCTGAACGCTTTTTGCAGGCTGCTATGTATTGCAGGGAGCAAACACAAATTGAACTTAACGTTGGAGCCCTGGAGTTGGAGCTAGGGCCACGGGCTGCCAGCCTGAGGCCGCCCACCAAGAGCTTGGGATCATTGTCCGGTTACAAGGCCTCATCGCGGCGTTCAGCCGCATTTGGGACTCGTCGCCGTCCGTCGTAGAACGCGTCGAAGCCATCGTCGTCAAAGGCCTATCACTGTTAGTCGCGGCATAGCAGCCCCAATGCGAACGCCAGCCACTGCGGTTTGCGCGCAATGCGCTCGCGTAACAGCACGAGCGGCAGAAGTTCCCGAGGGAGTTGTGGTTGCTTGCGGTGCTGCTGCTGCTGCTGCTGCTACTGTTGCTCAGAAAGTGTTACGACGAACTCGCTCTGGGTCAGCGAAGGGTCGTTCACCTCAACCGCACTGTCAGAACGACGCTACAGCCGTAAACAGCGCTGGTGTAGACGGTGAACACACGGCAGGCAAACGTTCATGCCGCTGCTGTCGCTGTCTTTCCGCGATATTCTGTAGAAGAGAGACGATGGGTCGGCCTGGCCGCTTGGACGAACGAGCGGTCAACCGGCAGAGCATTCGCTGTCAACGGAACGCGCTGTTCAGCAACAGCTACAGACAACGAATGAGCACAGGGATGGCCTTCAGATCAGCTGACGCGCTCTGCGCCAAGCGTGTAGTTCCCCCGCCCGCCCTTCTATCATAGCGCTGTCAGGCTAACCGCCGCGGAACTGGTAGGCTAGTGTGGTTTTTTCAAAAATTGTTTTTTGAAAACAAACTGTCTAGATACTAGCTAAGCTATACGGCGGCCACATGATAAATTCGTGTCTTTAACGTCTATGTGTATTTGTGTGTAAGCAAGTCCTTTGCACCATACACACACGCTGGTGGGTCGCCGGTCGATAGCCTTTTCGACGACAGCGGCCGATGCACCGTAGCTGGAGTAAGGAAACGACGCCTGGCAGCGTCGAATAAAGCCTCCATGAATGTCATGGGCAAAGAAATGACACGACGACAAGGACATGGAAGCCATCAAGGGCAACATTACAAACAGGACGAGTCGAACCTAATAAGCCAACTGGAATTTATACTGCCACGCCTTGAAGTTGCTGCTTTTGTATGTCTACGCCGGCCGGCAGGGAGCAGTGAAAGCGGAGCTGAAATTACAGTTGTCCACAAAAATAAT